GTAAGAGAAAAATTCATGGACCCTGGAGAATGGGAAGGGAGCCCTCATCCAGTGGCTGATGGAAACAGAGGCAGACACCCATAGCTATACACTGTACAGAACTCTGGAACTCAGTTGCAGAGAGGGAGGAATGAAGATCAAATGGGTCAGGACCAGGGTGGTAAAACCCACAGAAACAGCTGGTCTGAACATAGGGGAGCACATGGACCCCAGACTACTGTCTGGGAGGCCAGCACGGTACTGATCCAGACCCCTGAACCTGGATGTCAATGAGGAGGCCTCAGCACTCTGTGGGGCCCCTGGTAGTGGATCATTATTTTTCCCTGCAGTATGAAGGGACTTTGAGAGCACATGCCACGTGAAGGGATGCTCTCTCAGCCTGGACACATGGGGGAGGGCCTAGGCCCAGCCCAAGATGATGTGGTAGACTTTGGGGAGGCCCCATGGATGGCCCTTCCCTCCCTGGGGAGCAGAGGTGGGCTGTGGTGAGGGGTTGGGGGAGGGGAGGAAGGGGGGGAATGGATTGACATGTTAAGCAAGCTTGTTTCTAATTTGAACTAATAAAAAAACTCATTAAAAAAGTAGCAAAAGTGTTAAACCTAATTTGGGAAGTTTAAATATCCGAATGTATGCTTGACCACTAGTGATTCAATCCTGAAGGCAGGAAGCTCACACCCAGGCCCTTTCTGGGCAGATCACTGACTTCTTTTAGCTACTAGAAAATAACTATCATGCTGGACCTCTGTCTTCTATTTTTTCCATAAGCCTCCTACTAGTGAATATAATCTTTCAAACACTCAGAGGTCTGATTCTATTATCCCTTACCAGTTACTCTTTAAATGGAAGAATGAAAGATGAAGGCAATGTGATTACCTGACCCTTGGGGAGCCAGCCCTGCTTCCTCAATCCTCCCTTAACATCTTGTACTCCAACCTTCTCTCTTTGGGCATTTTTGTTTACTATCTTTTCTGCTTGAAACCTTCCTTCCCCCTCCCTCTTATGCCCCATCTGTTCACCTGGAAGTTGATTCTCACACTGTAGTTCCAAGCTTTGAAACTTTCCTTCTGGAAATTGTCCTCAATGCTTTTCTCTACCTGTCTACATGTCTATTGTAGGTATACAAAGCAGCATGTTCTACTTGGCCATTGAACATCAGTCATTGCCCCATCATCTCTGTATATCTACAGAGCTTCACAAGGACAAGCATCAATAGCCTTCGTCCATTTGTCTAGTCCAGCACACATGTATGCACCAAATTCTCGGTGACACATGCTATTTGTGAGACACATAATATGAACACTGGGGATAAAGCAACAAACAAATAAGCCAACAACAAAAGCTCAACCATTGCAATTGTGACTTCTTCATCAAATAATTCTATGTCCAGTTCCCAGAACAATGCTGAACCAAAGCTGTGATCCCTAGTCTATTTATCAGTTCAGCATTGGCATACTGAACATTTAGTGTATGCCGACCTCTAGAGCATTGACAATGATGGCAAAATAATAAAGACAAATAAATTGAATCTTCACCATGGCGTCTTAGAGTACAGCAAAGACAGATTTCAAACTAATAACTGATGGGGGAAGTCCTTGTGTGTATATGTTTGTAGGGGACACCGTAACCTCGCCTGCTAGGGGAGTAGTTACGGTGTCCCCTACATATGTTTGTCTTATTGGTTGATAAATAAAGTACTGTTGGTCAATAGGGAAGCAAGATAGGTGGGACTAGGAGTTGAGGAGGATTCTGGGAAATGTAGTAAAAAGAAGTCTTGTGATCCAGGCAGGAAGTGACATAGCAGGCAGACTCAGAATATAAGCAGGGACAAGCAGGAAATTGTTCTCTTCCTCTTCCTTCCCCTCTTTTCTCTGGAGCCACCATGTGAGCCCGACAAGAGAGGATACATGCTGCTGGCATCCTCAATCAGATAAGTCTTTATAAAATATAGAGATTAATAATTATGGTTGATAATTAAGACTCAGTTAGCATGTAAGAAATCCTAGTCAATGGCCAGCAGCATTTTAATTAATATAAGACTCTGTGTGTTATTTTGGGCACCCACATGGCAGCGGGGCTTGGGAGGCTTGGTGTAAAGATTTATCATTACAAATAACATGCAATTAGACAAAAAACAAGACCAGATACTTTACTGCCAATTGTTTATTTGCATCCTGTTTTATTTTACATCTCCATTAGAGAAAAGGTCAGCAAAATATAACACCCTGTGTATTTGTAAATAATGTTCATTGGAATATAGTGACCACAGGCCTCTGTTTACAAGTTGTCTGTGAAAAGTTTCTACACCCCAATAAGCCTCTCTGCCGATGCAGCAATCCAAATCAAACCAAATTAGAAAAAGCCCATGTTTAATGGATAAGTGCTCCCTGATGGCCTTCCAGCCTCCCTAGAGAGGAGACTGGAAGGGGAGACAGGAAAAACCACAAGTCTGGTTTCTGGGGTGGGGCAGTTTTAATACCCTGTGGGAGTGGTCTTGAGCATCTCTGGGGGAGAGGTCATCATTTGGAGCACTTTTTGAGATGTAGCAGGGTTTGGAGGGAGATGGGGGAAGGGGGCATCGGTGGAACCTCCACCATAATATCCCAGACTCTCTGGGTATATGGATGCCAGGGGATGGGGCAAAGCTTTTACCATAACAGTCTGTGGATACCTGACCTCTTCAAGTCAGAGCTGAGCCTTTGTAACAAAGACCATTTGTTTACAGAGCTTACATATTTACTTTGTGCCTATTTACCATCAACTTCCACATAAGAGGGTAATGAAATCTATTTGCTGGGCTCATTAGCACTTTTTTAAATGAAATAAGGAGGGACAGAATGGTTCAAAAATTGATGAAACAGGCAAATAATGGAGTGGAATGGAGAGGAGGGGGATAAGGGACTACAGGGGAGGGGAGAGGATTGGAAGGAAGGGAAGTAGACGGGGGAGGGGGGGGAAGTAGAGCTCTAGCTGTAGCAGCTAGAGTAGTCAGTAGCTGCTCACACTGCATTCTCAGGCAGGAAGCAGAGAGAGAGACAGAGAGAGAGATGAGTACAACTACTCACCTTTCTCCCTCCTTATTCAGTCCACAACTTCAGCCCAGAGGATGGTGCTGTTCACATTCACGCTCTGTCATCTTTCCTCAGTTAACACTTTCTCAAAATACCTTCCTAGACAAACCTAGCTGTGTATTTCCATGGGGGACTCTAAACCTGTGGGGTTGATAATGAAAATCAACCCTCCGGTTAGAACTGGGGACATTTCTCAGGGAAGAGTGCTTACCTAGCATGAGTGTGTGCAGCATCCTAAATGTTCATTTTGACAGTAAATAGTTTTCACAACCGTTCTTGTATATTTTAAGATGGAACAAAGTTTTTGAGCCTTATTCCACTACTACACGAAATAATATTTGACAAATCACTCACTCACTCATTCACTCGCTCACATAACTGATAAGTGAATAGTATGGATCAATGAATGAATGCTAAATGTTTTTCATTCAATAAATATTTGCAATTATTTATTGTACATCAAAACTTTATCATATTGCTGTCTATATGAAAGTTAGTAAGGCAGCACCCTCTTCGAGGAGGACTGAGTGTGTGGGGAAAGAGTAAATCCTGATTATATATAACATGATCATTTGTGTATCAGAAGTATATATGGAATCATGTAAAGATGAGAAAGCAGAATTATGCTATGTGGCTTTGTGTGTGTAGCCATAGTAGCATAATCTAAACAAAATAAGATCCAGTCAAATCTTATCAAGAATACACATATGCAGCACAAATAATAAAAACCCAGAGACAGATATTGGGGTTCAAGCTGAATAACAGAAAAGCAAAGCAGCCAACCCCTAGAGAGTTATTACCTCTACCAAGGCTCACCCCATGACTGCAGACTGACTGACTCCCATCTCTCCCATCATGTATTCTTCTGTAGTGCTGGGATTAAAGGCATGCACCATCACCCCTCAGCTTCTAAGGCTAAGCAGTGTGGCTGCTGGATTTAAAGGTGTGTGCTACCACTGCCTGGGCTCTATGGCTGAATAATGTGGCTAGCTTTGCACACTGATCTTCAGGCAAGCTTTATTTGTTAGATCATAAACAAAATATCACCACACACATGCAGCAAGGAGGGAGAATAGTAGAGTGAGAGAACGTAGGAGAAAAAAGTGTGCTGCTAGCAATTTATTTGGCTGAAACTTAATGGCTGCTCTAGAAAATGGGAAGCATAATTACTGAAACGTTTTAAAGCAAAGTGGTGGTAGCACTGAGGTATTTAAGTCAGTTTTGGATTCTACTGAACATTTATTTGTACTTAACTAACAAAGGCTGAGACTAGACCATTAGACTGCAGGACTAAGTGGACAGGTGCAGCTGTGTTTCTAGCAGTCAGGTGCCAGAGTTCCTCCTTGCTGAGATATTTTGTCAATACTCTCTGCATGGCAGATTACCTCATACTTAGCAGAACAGTCTAGGTGTGCTGAGTGGTACATCACTCATAAGTCAATTAGTCAACTTGGAAAAGCAAAACTAACATTAAACCTACATTCAACTCTAACCTCTAGATCTTTCCTGTATTAGAACATGTCCCCTTCCTTTGTTAGTAATGAAGGAAGGTTTGGGGAAAGTGGTGAGGGGAGCAATGTAGAAGTGGAAAGAAAGGATAGGGTGGGGGCAGAAGTGGCCACTCAGGTGGTTATGCGATTGCATTCATTGGTAACTAATTCCTTGGTAACTAACCTTCGTCTTAAACTTTTCAAACAACTTGCAAGCAAGCAAGCAAGCAAGTGCGCGCACACACACACACACACACACACACACACACACACACACACACACACAAAAGTATGCATTAATCCTACCATTGTAGGGTTCTTATTATTTAATGTGTTTTTTCTTTTTAATTGACATATACCTATTGTACATAAATTTAGACTATAGTGTGAAATTTCAAACCATGTACATAATGATTGGGTTATAATTGTCTATCTATTACCTCAATTTCTTATCATTTTTTGGTTTGGAAACATTCAAAATCTCTACTAGCTATTTTGAAATAGTCGACTAGATGTTATGAGCCATAGTTATCCTGCTGCTGATGCACTCATTATTTTGTATATTCCCTTAAAAATAATTTTCCTAAGTCTATTGTTATTCATTAATGATAACAGTGATATTTTCCACATTATCTTGAATCCTATTTTATTAAAGGCATAAATATTTATGTGTTTTTCACTTATTGCACACATCATGTTAATGGACACATTATATCTCTACTGTGGTACATATAATTTAATCAAAATGTCTCTCACTATCAGATATTTCTGACAAACAATGTGAATAATCATTCCAAGAAGACAAGCAAGGATTCCTCCTGGGTGAAGAAATTGTACATTAAAATTACATTTTCTTGCTTTCAAGATATAACTACTGTCTGCCATGTGACAGCACCAAGTTCAAGGAGGAGACTTGAATAGGGAAGCACAGCTTGCAGTTGTACTTGAAGAATGGAGCATTCCTCCCATGCCTTGGGGGAAGTCACACTGCTGCTACTCTCTGGCTTGCCTTGTAGAAGCCTGCCTGGGCAAAGCTTGGCCTTTGGCATCCCGAGGAAGCAATTTCTTCCAGCAGCACAGAAGTCACTAGCATTCAGCCCATCACATTGATCTTAGCTTCCCCCGCAGAGACCTGGGTGAGTCTTTATTTCTCACAAAGGGGAATCAAATGCCTTCATGTGAGCAAGAATGTTTATGTGGTCTGGGCAGTTCTCTGCCATTTTCTCAGAGTTTATTTTATTCTCTTCCCAGGAAAACAGTCTATGGAAATCATTAGGCAGAATCTGCCTTGCAGAACCCAGTGTACTCTCTTTACATGAAGGTCTCCTTCAGTTCATTTCAAAGTAACCTCACACTGGGAAGGGCTGCTTTTCTAAGGATTGCTGAAAGAAAGAGACAATAGCAGGCAATTACTTGCAGGTCCAGAAACAATACAAGCATCAAAATACATGGCCATCCCATGTACTAAAGAATTAATAATATTATATCTATACCAACTACCAGTGAGTCAAAATGATGTAAGTTTCTTTGCAGTGTTCCCATTTCTCATTCTGTTCTTCACCCTGATCAGTAGGTATAAGGCCAGAAATGATCTTTTCTTTTGCCTGACATAGCTGCATCTTCAAAGATTCAGGCTCCACATGGAAGTTTGGGGTGACTCTGGACACATTACCCAAAAAGCACTCCTCTGTTGCAAGAAGAATGGAAGGAAATAATCTCAGTGCTGGGAGAACTTTTGAGACACTCTAGCCCCATGACTCTCCAATGCCTCCCACTTGCTGGGCTCTCTGACTACAAAAAAAAAAAAAAAAAAAAAAACCAACTCACTACTCAAGCTTTCAGAAATACAGACAGCCACATCCTGGCCCCAGGGGTTCTGAAACCACAGGACAAGATCACAGTTTACTCTCCTGCTAAGCCATGCCTAAAAACCAATAAAAGAATCCAACTACTATATTGCCATAGAAGAATGGACACCAGAGAGGAGGGTGCCTACAGGAGCATGAACAAAATTGTAGACCCTAAAACTGTATTACATGATAAAGCTTTCAAACACAACTTTAGAGTTCCCTAAAATAAATGAAATAAGTAATAAGACTAGTGGGCTACATATTCACTTTTGGAGAACACAGTTATGCTTTCTTCACTGAAAAAGAACCCTGGTGACCAATTACAGAGAAGCAGAGTGCTAGTCACCATGTCTCCTCTCTTTCCTATGCCCTTCCTTATTCCCTCAACACAGACTCACATGGACCAAGGAACGAAATGGCAAAAATGTGTTTAGAAAATATTTGTAATGGAGCTAGGCACCTCCAACTATACCAGACTTTGCTAGGCCCTAGTGGTATAATACGTTAATGAACAACAACAAAATAAACATTCCCTGCCATCATAAAGTTTATGCTTTAATGGGGGTTTAAGGATAATTAAATGGGCAATTTATAATTTGGGGCAGTGAATATTATGATAAGTTAATTGGGTTACAGGGAGTAACCAAACCTTTAAAGCCTTCCTATAGTTACAAAGAAATGGTTTGCACTAGCAGACATTCCTACTGATTCATAACACTCAGGAAAATCCTAAAATGCAAAGATAAGCTGCTATAATTACAGCAACTAAAAATTCCATCCAGAGCTATGATGGAAGTTAGAACATCCCACCAACAAAAAATTCAATAAGACTGGGTAAAATAATCAAAAACAACTCTTCCAGACCTCTAGAAATTAGCTAAACACAACCACAAACTGTGCAGTGTTTATTCATTTAAAAAAAAAAAAAGCTGCTGGGACTATAAGCAACAACAGTAATAGTCAAAGGCCTTATTGCCTTTGGTGGCTCCTGTTCCTCCCCCTCCTCCACCTCAGCTGGGGGTAGCACTTTTGCCAGGGTGAGGCTAGTCCTGGAGTGAACATCATCACTGAAGGGCACTGACTTGCTCTGGAATAGACAGTACAAACCTGTTCTGTCAGTAAAAGTAGGTGCTGGGAATCAGCAGTTCTAAAACGGTCAGCAGCTTGGCTCTCTGGAAGGGACAGCACCAGCTGGGAAGGTAGTATGACCTGGAGAGCAGAGAACACCGACCGACATTGCACCTAGTAGTAAAATGTCACTTTCCTTCAAAGACTGAAAACAGGCAATCACTTCTGTTTAACATGTTATTGGGTGTTTTACCAAGTACAAGGAGACAAAACACAAACTAGAAGTTTACAGGATGAAGACGAAGAAATAAAAGTGTTTATGTTTAGATAATGTGAGCTTTCAGGTAGAAAATCCCAAGGTACGACATAACAATGAGCAAACAAACTCTACAAATTACCAGAAGTTATCAGTGAATTTAGTGAGCTTTTGCTTTGTAAGATCTCTACACAAAAATCAATTGTAATTCTTTACAGCAGTAGTAAAAAGTCAACATAAAAACTTAAAGCAATTTATTGTCTAAAGTGTTAAAAGCAATGAAATATTTAAATTGTTAACAAAAGTAGTTTAAGAGCTGTATATCGAATATGATAATAAGTTACAGAGTTAATAAAAAAAAGTTTAAATAAATGGAGACATCTCACATGTGTGGCTAAGATTCAATAACCCAAACCCTCACTATGTTTTGTTTTTCCTAATTGAAAGCTTGACTCTAAAGCTTACGTAGAAATATAAGGAACCTTAAACTGAACAGTCAAGACAATTTTAAAACAAATCTAAACTGTGTCAACCAATTTAAAACTAATGCATAGATCAGTAAATCAAGATAGTGTGATATTGAAGTGAGTTTAGGAAGTAGAACAGAGAATTCTGGAAGAAACCCTTTAATGTACGTCCCAAGCAATTCTTAAAAAGTAATTACTAACTATCAGATAGCATCATAAAAAACAAATGACTTTAGACTTTTACCTCATCACACACACACACACACACACACACACACACACACACACACACACACACTCTACATCAAAGAACTAAATATACAAGCTGTAAGTGTAAGGGGTTAAGTCAAACCTAACATCAGAGAGTTGGCAGATAGATAGGGCAGACACCTGTCCATATTCCAGAAATGTCTCTTGACTGGAGGCAGCCCTTGAAGCCTTGGGAGGGGCTTGCCTGAGAACTAGCGATCTCTGGGGAGAATTCCGGTATGGTGAGGAAAGGAAGCAAGACAAGGATTCCCAGCTGTGAAGAAAGGGACGCATTCCACACTTGGCAACACACTATCAGAACTGTGTCTTCCTCGCAAGCTCCATTTTGTCCTCATTGAGCACACTTGGAGAGGAGAAAACAAATGCCCTCTGTTGAAAAGGGACACACTGTAATGAAAAGCAACTTTAAAGACGCTTTAGCGCGGAAAGCCTTTGAGCTACATCACTGACAATGCTTCACAGATTTATTTCCAATTTGCAGTTATGCTGAGCAGACATTTTGGGCTGTGCAGCAGCAATTCAGGCTGTGAGTTGGAGTTCTTCGGCCGACTGTGCGTAAATATGCAAGAATGCATGGTCACAGGCCACGAGGTACAGGTTTACCCAGAGGCATCACCCATAAGACGGCCAGCCAAGAAAGTTGCAGAATTATTTTATCTCACCATTTTCACTAAGTATACAACTCCATGAAAGCAGAAGTCTTAGCAAAGAATTTTTCTGCACAGATAAAAAGACTTTGAAGAGAAACGAAGAAAGCATGAGTTTTAACTCCATTCCTGAATCCCAGTCTTGGCACCTGCTAATTGGCAACCCTTAGGCAAGTTATGTGAACTCTGTGAAGAGGACAGCCTCTTTTCAACACTGTGGGAAGAGTACCTGGTTTATAAAACAGTGCTGCAGAGAAAATCAAGGGAGATAATAGCTTTTATTTTCCTATGTTCTATAAAAAGGATGGATATTTTTGCTTCACTATTTTATCCCCAGCAATTATCATTGTAGTGGCACAAAAGAGGCCCTTAATAGCCAGGGGCTGGGTAGAAGAAGGTATGACTAGACACTCCTTAGACTCTGACATTTGGGGACACAGCAAGACATGTTTCTTTTAAAATATTTATTTTTATTTTTAAAGCAATCTTATTTTACACACCAATCCCAGTTCCCTCTCCCTCCCGGCCTCCCACTCCCACTCCCCCCACCATCTCCTCATCCCGCACCCCATCCATTCCTCAGAGAGGGTGGGGCCTCCCATGGGAAATCATCAAAGTCTGTAATCATCATTTGGGGCAGGACCAACCCCCCCCCACACACATGTCTAGCCTATTCCCATAGGGAATAGGCTCCAAAAAGCCAGTTTCATGTACTAGGGATAAACACTGGCTCCACTGTGGGGCCCATAGACTGTCCAAGCCCCCAACTGACACCCAGATTCAGGGGGCTTAGTTTTTTTCTTAATTACTTCTTCCAGGAGAAAAGCAAGCTCTGTCTCTGTCTCTATCCCTCTCTCACTCTTTCTTTCTCTCCTTCAGTTCCTCTGTGGGGTAACTGTTCTTTAAGATTGCTGTATGACTTTCATCCTTGGAATTTCTTCAGATACTGTTTGCTTTGTGTTTTTCTGCTCTCTGCATCCTGTACCTTCTACTTGATTAGCATATCCCCTTCACTGAGCTTTCTGAAAGGAACAAATTGAAGCGAAACTCAGAGTGGCTTCAGATGAAAAGGTGCTCCTTCTATGCTCTCACTGAGAAGTGAGTAGGCCGCTACAGAAGTCTTGGATGAAGGTTCTTTCCTTTGAAATTGTAAAAACAATTTCCAATTATTTTCTGTAAGTTAGTATTAGAATTAGTAGACACTTGTTTTTGTTGTTGTTGTTTGTTTGTTTGCTTTTAATGTAAGAACAGGAAGAGATTCCCACTCAAAAACCAACCCTATTATGTTCCTATATGTGCCCCCGGAGGATACAACACACAGTCATATTTTAAATATCTTCACACACACACACACACACACACACACACACACACATATATATATATATATATATATATACATATATATATATATTTACACACACACAAGTGCATACAGTCTTACCTCCTGATTCATATAATGCTGTGCCATGAAATTCTCAAGTCAGTGTATATCATTAAGTTACTTTAAGGCCCCTTTCAACACTAAGATCAATGATTCTATGATTTGTTAAGGCTAGATTGTCACATATGGATGGCTTCAGTATAAGCAGTAGACAGTTCAGGAGTTGGATTCATTGATAGCAGCATGAAATAGAACTGTGGCTGAGGAAGATAAGGTTAACTACCTGCCAAGTGCTTTTCATTTAAGGATACAGAAGGTTCTCAGAGAGCATAAAAGAATCAAAGACATATTACAGATGGGGTTCAATAAATCACCTGTGACTAGCCTCCAGTCAGGAAAGGCATGTTAGGTTTGGAGAAAAGGGCACAGTGGGTCTCTGGAGGAGAAAACACATTGTGTCCAGCCTTTAGGATGAAAGTGTACCATGTATACACAGAGTGCTTGAGGTTGTGAATTGGAGGCAAGCGACTAAAGCCAGTTTCAAAGGCCCACAATTACAGATGACAAGTGACAACATAAGCAACTGAACACAGAAAGGCTTTGGCCCAGTAAGAGTTCATAGCCGAGGTGGGCTTCTGATAAAAATGGAAAAGAAACAAAGAAGAGGTAGGTAAGGAAAAACAAAGCAAGGGCCAGGATGAGGAGTAGTGTACAGAGAGGGTTTCCCGGCTAAGGACAAAGTCTGTCCCCCCTCCCCCAGAACAGGACTGGCTTCCAGATTGAGGCAGTGGTACCCATTCACCCTTCTCAGCATTCTGACTGCAATAACAATAAAAGACAGAGGTGAATCATGGAGGTGGGACAGCGTTGGAAATTGGAAATATTTATCAGCAAGTTGACAGTCTGAAAGAAATTTCTACTGACAAATCCCAGTGGGGAAAATAACAGCAGAAGGCAAATGTTTCAATATGGGAGATGGACAATGGAGCCATTCAGAAAGAAAAGGAGGAGGAGGGAGGGAAGATGGGTGGGGAGTCAGATGGGGGGTTTACCTTCTCCCTATCCAAATTTATGAGCTGGATAAGCATGGGTTCCAGAGGACTGAGAGTTCATGTTGGTTCCTGTTACCCCTACTCACTTGGCTACGATGGCAACCCCATTGTATTTATTTGTTATCCCCAGAATCTACTTCCACTGTAACAAATTACCTAAATTGTAGCAGACTAGAGTGCTTACTTTGTGGTTCTGTAGATCACAAATCTTACTGGGATCTTAACGGCTGAAAAGAAGATGTTAATGGTCCACACCAGAGCATAAATGGCTGCCTCACACTGATCTTAGGATGGGCACCATCCCTACATCTTCAAAGCCAGCAAGGATAGTCAAGCCCTTTGTTCATCACATCTTTTTCACCTCTTCTTCTGCTGTCCTCTTATACTCCCAAGAGCCTTTATGTTTCCTTTCCACCCAGTAGCTAATCCAGAATGATCTGCTAACAATAGTCAACCGTCTGGCTATCTTGATTCTGTGCTACCTTCATTTCCCCTTTGCTGCCTAGAAGAATATATTTGCAAGTTTCAAACATTAGGATGAGAACATCTTTGGGAGGAGGCAGACTATGCCTACCATAGCCACTAAACAAGGATTCTTTGTTAAAAGAGACACTTTTGAATGCAGGTATGAAACTTCTGAGGACCATCCCTGCTCCCAGCCCCCATCAGATACACAGCCTAAAAGCACATGATTGCTTATTAGGGGCATGGGCTTTGGCATGACCTAATTGAAAGGACCCTAGCCAGCCTGAGCATGCAAATATGTCTCTGGCAGGCTTTGCCCTCCTCTGCCTTGTTAAAAACTTTTAGATTACATTCCCAAAGCTAGCCACCAGGGTTTATTCCCTTATTTGGCCACTTTCTCCTCCTGAGGCTGACAACCAAGGTCCAACTATTAAATAATTGAAGTCCAGCAATCAAAAGCCCCCTTTGGCTCACCTAATTAACATGCCCAATTAAAATTAGGCACCTCATCCTAACTCGGGGTTTCCCCTTTTACCTTTATAAACCATATTTTCCTATGGGCCACTTCTGTCTTCTCTTTATCCAGAGGGAGGCCTTTATCCCTCGAAAACAAATTTTCCTGCCCCTCCCTTCTTCCATTCCCCATCTACCCTGTCCCCCTTCCTTGTTCCCTTGCCCTTCTCCCTAATCCTCTATATCTTGTCTTTGTCTTTTATTCCCTGCCCCTTGTCTTTTGGGGCAAATAAATCTCCTTTGTGCTGAGAACTTAGTCTTGGGGTATCTTGAGGCAATTCTGAGGTTCCCTAAGTGAATTGTTTTTGTTTTTAATGAACCACCAACACATTATCATGGTGAAAAAATAGAAAAGTATTAATATATTCTTGTGTATGCTATATTGCATATTCAAATAATTAAAATATATTTGTACATTGTCCTTTTATCTTTTAGAGCAGTGTTAATTTCACAGAAAACTTGAGCTAAAGGAACATAAATTTATCATTAATATCTAGCTAACCTCTTCATCAGCATCTACTATCAGAGTAGAATGTTTGTTACAATAAACAAACACTTTTTAAAATAATTTATTTATTCTTTTAAGTTTCACTTCATATTCCAAACACAGTTCACCCCTCACCCCTTCTCCTGCCCCCCTTGCCTCCCTCCAGATCACCCCCAGTCCACTCCTCCTCACCAGTAAGGGCTCCCATGAAGAATCAGCAAAGTCTGACACAATAGGTTGGAGCAGGGCCAAGCCCATCTCCTATGCATTAAGGCTGAACATGGCTTCCCACCACAGGCAATGGGCTCCAACAAGGTAGCTCATGTACCAGGTTTGTATTGTGGTCCTACTGCTAGGGTCCCCTCTGATAGTCCAAGCTTCACAACTTTCTCCAACATATGGGGGGGGGCAGTAATTTGGTCCCTTGGAGTCTCTACTGCTAGAGTTCACATTTCTGCAAGCTTGGTTCAGCTACCTCTGTAGATTTCTCCATCATGATTTTGACCTCCTTTGCTCATATACTCCCTCCTCCCTCTCTTGGACTGGATTCCCAGAACTAGGCCTTGCTTTTGATTGTATATCTCTGTGTCTGGTTCCATCAATTACTGGATGAAGGTTCTATGATAATAGTTGGGGTGTTCACCAATCTGATTACAGGGGTAAGCTAGTTCCAGAATCCTATCCACTATTACTAGCAGTCTTAGTTGGGGTCATCCTTGTGGATTCTTGGAAATTACCCTAGAACCAGATTTCTCCCTAACCCCATAGTGGCTCTCTCTATTAAGATCTCTCCTTCATTGCTCTTCTATTGCATCCCTTCCCCACCAACCCACCTGTTCCCTCATGTTCTCATCCTCCTCCCCTCTCCCTTACCATCCCCTGTCCCTGGTTCATCCAGTAGATTTCATTTAATTTCCCTTCCAAGGGGGATCCATGTGTCTCTCTTAGGGTCCTCCTTGCTACCTAGCTTCTCTGGAACTGTGGATTGTAGCCTGGTTATCCTTTGCTTTATATCTAATACCCAATTATGCGTGAATACAGACCATGTTTGTCTTTCTGAGTCTGGATTATCTCATTCAGGATTTTTTTTCTAGTTCTATCCATTTGCCTGCAAATTTCATGAGGTTATCATTTTTTTTTACAGCTGAGTAGTACTCCACTGTGTAAATGTACCACATTTTTCTTATCCAGTTTTTGGTTGAGGGACATCTTGGTTGTTTCCAGGTTCTGGCTATTATGAATTATTATGAATAATGCTGCCAAAATGGTACAATGAAAAAAGGAAAACATCTCTAACAAATGGTGCTGGTATAGCTTGATGTCAACATGTAGAAGACTACAAATAGATCCATATATATATATATATATATATATATATATATATATATATATATATGCACAAAACTGAAGTCCAAGTGGATCAAGGACCTCCACATAAATCCAGCTACATTTAACCTGATAGAAGAGAAAATGGGAAGTAACCTGGAACACATAGTCACAGGAGACCACTTCCTAAAACATCAGTAGCACAGACACTGAAAGCAACAATCAATAAATGGGACCTCCTGAAACTGAAAAGCTTCTGTAAGGCAAAGGACACTATCAATAAGACAAAATAATGGTCTACAGAATGGAAAAAGATCTTCACTAACCTCACATCTGACAGAGGGCTAATCTCCATAATATATAAAGAACTCAAGAAACCAGACATCAAAATGCAAAATAACCCAATTGAAAAATGGGGTACAGAGCTAAACAGAGAATTCTTACCAGAAGTATCTCAAATGACTAAAAGACATATGTGGGAATTACCTATATGGGGCCAGCTAAAAATACAAGGGAATTTAATAGGGAAAAGCCTTACTTACAGAACGACCTAGCCAGCCAGCAGGGCAGCAGTAAGTACAGCAAGCCAAAGATGAAATTGAAAGAAGGGGCCCCTGCCACCTGAGAGTCCCTCACTCTTAAACCTTCCCTATGTCACCCTGACCACGTCCTCGCAGGCATTTTCAGACACACCCCTTAGTCAGCCCCTAAGCAGGTATGGCTACAGAATCCCTTACAATCTCCCCTTTAGTCTAAAAGACGATTAAAACTTAACAGTGTAAAGTATTAACAATCATAAAGGTGAAATATAAGAAGATACAGCAATCTGCTTATGTCACATCCTAACTATGTCTATTTTAACTAAACCCTAGAGTCATCTGAAAGAGGTGTCCAAGCCTGAACACCTCCTTCTAATCCCAACCATAAACAATAGGAAGCTATCCCTAACTAAGTGTATACACTATCCTAAGTGACAACAATGGGGGAAAGAGGGCATAGAATCCTCCAAGTTACTTCCTGCTGAAATGGGATGGTGATAGCCTCATGGGGGACTATAGGAAGAAAATGATAGTATAGTGAAAGTCTGGAATGGATTGTATCCAGTCCATGTTAGATGGGATTCACTTGATTGAAATCTTCAACTTGATTAAAGTCAGTACCCGAAGCTCTGGCCAGAGTGTCAGTTGAAATGGAGCAAGTTGGATCCAGTGCAGTCAAGGAGGTGTGGCCCATTTTCATTCCAGGATGTCCAGGAATTGCTGTCAGGCAGGTCTTCATTGGCTGTGTGACTCAAACATAAACAGTTAGCAGAGAAATGTTTGCTTGTGTATGTATACTGGAAAGGGCAACCATGGGAGCATAACAATTATGAGAGGGTGTACACCTTGAAAGAAAGAGCCAAGAAAGGACAAAGACAGTCCCCAAATTCTCTTATTCTGTATTACATCAATTGGCTTCTTGATACAAAACAGAAACTCTAAAGTCTAGTTAAACAACGTGCTTGGATTTTAGAGGAGGAAAGACAAATCTACCTCTAAATCCAGCATTGGCTTAATTGAATAGGGACTAGGAAATAACAAGAAATAAAGTTCTTTGGGAGACAGCTGTAAAGTTTACTGTATGGCACGTTTCTTTTGTTTGATGGTTATAGCTGCCTTCTCTTCTTAAGTATCTACCCATGCAGTGTCCTCTGACTTCTGGAGATGAATTTTCCTATGAAGATAAAAGCAAAACACTTCCCTTTCCTTTGGGAGGTTTCTATTTATTTTACGTGTTATACCTTAGTAAAATACCAGTCATTTCTCTTCATCGAGAGGTTTTTCCTTTTCAACTCGAATCTTGATCAACTTGATGGTATCCAAAGTTTTTCTGCTCCTGTGAAAACCAATGCAAAACCCCTACTCCATCATAACACATGTCCTGGTTTCCACACAGAGGTCAGTACATCTTTGAAGTATACCGGCTGATTCAGTTCAGCAGATTTTTCCATAGTTCAATGTATTTCTGCAGCTGTTTGTCCTTTTTCATTGGCATTAAGAAAGTTTAGTGTTAATAAAGCATTATGAAACCTATGTTTGGGGGGTTTAGTCTTCCAAGCCTGTTTATGGAGCATCTCATTTAGTGTCCTATTAGATCTCTCAACCACTGCTTGTCCCGTAGGACTGTCTGGTATACTGGTAACATGCTTTATGTTATAATATTTGAAAAACTCTTCCAATTTTGTGAAGACATATGCTGGAGCATTGTCAGTTTTTATTTGTGCAGGTATACCCTTAACTGCCATCACCTCTAGCAGGTGTATAATAACATAATCAGCTTTTTCAGAATTAAGAGCAGTAGCCCATTGGAACCCTGCGAATGTGTCTAATAGTATGATGCGAATATTTCAAGTTTCCAAATTCTGCAAAGTGAAAGACATCCATATGCCAATCATAATTTCTCCGAATGCCATTAGGATTACAACCTGCTGGCAATGGAGTTTGATTATAAAAGGAACAAGTAGGAGAGTTTCTCACTATCTCCTCAGCTTGTTGCCAAGTGATGGAGAAGTCCTTTTTCAAATCTTTGCTATTTACATGATGTTTCTTATGAAATTCTGAGGCTTCTAGCACACTTCCAATTAATAAATGATCAATCTTATCATTGCTTTGTGCTAGTGGGCCTGGCAGACCCGAATGGGATCTGATATGTGTAATGTATATAGGATTACTTCTGTTTCTGATTGTTTCCTGTAAATGTATAAACAGTGAAGTTAATTCTGTATCAGGAAAATTTCTGCAGTCTCAATGAGTAGCAGGACTCTCTCTGCATATTGAGAATCAGTAACTATATTAAGAGGTTCTGTAAAATCCATAAGTACCATGAGACTTACATATAATTCTACCTTCTGTACAGATGTATATGGACTTTGAACTACTTTAATTACCTCACCCTGCTTTATAACCTGCCTTACCTGATTTGTTGGCATCATTGTAGAAGGGTAAACTCAGTGTAAAGTCCAGAAATGGGAGTTTGCCTTACAATATGTGAAAGAATCCAGACTGTCTTTTTTATGAATTTAATTCTGTCAGTTTTGGGATAATTGTTGCTAATCGTTCCCAAAAAGTCAGTAAGAGCTATTTGCCAATATTCATTATCCTTCCACAAGGAGGAAATTTCCTCATTAGTTAAAGGTACTATAATTTCTGCTGGATCTTTTCCAGTCAGCTGACAGAGTCTTAATTTGCCCTTTAGAATCAAGTCAGAAATCTTTTCTATATATGTCTTTAACTTTTTATTCTGTTTATGTGGCAGAAATATCCACTCCAATATCTGTTTATGTGGCACAAATATCCACATTATAGTCAATGTTGGCTGCATGCAAAACCCATTCTTCTAGTGGAGCTGATCTGATCTTTAAACACAAAAGTATTCTTTTGCATATTGGGTTTGCATTTTCATAAGCTATTCTATTGATTGTTTTGTTTCTGGATCTGTTACTTGTAATTCTACTGCCCTAGTTAACCTTTGTGAGAATAAAAGGAACTGTTCTGTAGGTCCCTGTTCTATTCTGGTATAAGCTTCTAGGCATTCTCTTGGCTCACAAACCTTATCCCAGGTGTTTAATGCTGCTTTCCTGCATAGGGACACTATATGGTAATCATATTCAGCCTGAGCCTTTGGGTTAGCATAAATACCCTCACCAAGAATCTTATCTAGGGGGGCTTCATAACCATCCTTTATTCCTTGTCACTCAAGGAGCTTCGCCACTTCCCTGACCAATGCCTTCCACTGGATTTGGCATGAATTCTCAAGTACAGCTGCCACCAATCTTTCCCAGTCCATGGGTGTCACCCTGTTAAAGGTTGCCCATGAATGTAATATCTGTTTTATTTATGGGTTGTGGAGACCATATAAGACAACTGATTCTTTAATACTCTTAAGATCCTTCAGTTGTATAGGTTGCCATATATAAGCCATCTGTCCCTGGGGGTGTTTTTTAATAGGTGGCTTCTCTACCATTGTTGCTGGGTAGACTAATGGTGTACAAATAACAACTTTCGAATGATCAAGATACCTGAGTGGAGTAGGTGCCTCAGATTGGAGTGATTCGTCTCCAAGTCATCCCAACGATCCTTGAATCTAGTAATGATATCCTCATGAAAAGTTTCAATATCCTGCATCATAAATGACTCCAAGCATGTTAGTGAATCTGTAAATTGCTCTAACTGCTCCTCTACACATTTTTCTAGGTCTTTAATATGCTTGTCCTTAGACAGCATCTGGATGGTATGGAAACTGCCTTCTAGGTATTGAAGTCTAGATTCGAGGTCATGATTTGCTGATTTTGAGTCCTCAGCAATCGACCATATGGACCTTTCTAATCTTTCAGCCTTGTTTTGTAAATTATCTTCCAAACATTCAAATCTAGACTCAAATTTGTGATCTGCTACCTTAGATGCTTCAATAATTGATTGAATGGCATTGTCCAATTCTTCAACCCTATCCTGGGTATTTGCACCTTTGCATCTAGTTTCTGGGTCACAGAGCCTATCTGAGTTTCTAACTGGCTACAGATATTCTGTAGTTTGTCATGGTCCTCTGACAGCCTAGCCTCTAACACCACAGACATGGAGGATCTCTCTGTGTTTATCTTATCATAAATACGCTGCATCTCTTCTTGGGTAACAGACAGCTCCGTCTTTAGCGTATTGGAGATAGAGCCAAGCTTATCATTCATCCAACTTCTGTTCCACTTGCTGCACAATTGTGGCCTGACCTAATCTGTTCTCCAAAAACCTCATCACATAAAGCTGTTAATTCCTGTAAGCAGGTGGTGAGGTTATCTTTGTCCCTGTTCCTGGGGAACTCTGGCTAGTAATGTTATTTGTACCAGCAAGCTAATTGCCATTACTGCATATAGGCAGGTAATTGGCAGATTAGCATCCTACTCAAACATTGAATTCACGGAATAAGCAAAAATATTACCAATTTTAGCAAATGATAAATATTCCGCCATGATTTTATCTGATTTCTACTCCAGATGCATTAAGTATCTTTGACTAGCAGGTGGCACAGGCATTCAGCTAGTCTGTGCGGCTTCTGGCAATGGTGGGTCAGGCAAGATGGCAGCGGCGATGGTAGAGCTGAGGTCACACAGGCAGCTGCGCTTTAGGTGAAAGTGTACTGCCTTGCAGCCGCAACTACTAACAAAGGTATGGCTTTACAGCTGCTGCGGCCAGGGAAAGCTTCTGACCCTGCTGAAAGCTATGGCCTACTCCCAAGGCCTCCTCTGCCCAAGGGCAGGAGGCATTCTGGCATGGGTAGGCCACAAACTGGGCCGTTCCATGCATGCAGCTAGAAACTGCGGGGGTGGGGGGGGTTAAAACCGTAGGGAGGTCTGGGGAAGTCTCCAAGCTGGGTGGATGGTTCTGATCGGCTCAGTGGCAGTGGGATCCATTTGTGGCTGCGAGCTAGGCACACCTGTGGAGAGAGGAAGTGCTTTCCTGCTCAGCTAGTCCCCCATCCTGATGGGACCCTTGGGCACTCCCAAACAGGGCCTAGGTTTACAAGGTCCTGCTTCTGACAACCAGACAATGTGGGAATTACCATTACGGAGCCAGGTAAAATTACAAGGGAATTTAATAGGGAAAAGCCTTACTTACAGAGCGACCTAGCCAGCCGGCAGGGCAGCAGTAGGTACAGGAAGCTGAAGATGAAAGCGAAAGAAGCCCCCCTCTCCCCCCTCATCTGAGCGTCCCTCACTCTTAAACCTTCCCTATGTCACCCTGACCACGCCCTCGCAGGTGTAACCATCTTACACCTGCCAGAATGGCTAAGATCAAAAATACTGAGTACAGCTAATCCTGGAGAGGATGTGTGGAGTCACGGGAACACTCTTCCACTGCTGGTGGGAATGAAAACTCATACAGCCACTTTGGAAATCAGTATGGTGGTTTCTCAGAAAATTGGGAATCAATCTACTTCAAGACACAGCAATACCACTCTTGGGCATATACACTAAGGATGCTCAATCATACCACAAGGACACAATGTCTATAGGATTTACTCTTTAGTTTACACATACTGTGGCTTTTGCTAAACTTATATGTTCATGTCTCCATCACTAAATGAGAAAGTGTTTTCACTGTCCACAAAGCTCTGCAGTCTAACTAATTTGTCTTTCCCTCCCTACAACCCACTGGCACCCACTGACATCCATAGTTTACCTTTTCCAGAGTAATCGAGCTTCAATCACATGGCACAGTCTCTTTCCAACTGGCTTCTCTTGCTTAGTAATGTGTATTTATGTTTTGTGCATTTTTCCATGACCTGAAAGATAATGTTGTTTATTATTGAAAAACAGACACTTTCAATATGACAAAACATCAGCCTACAGAATGGGAAAAGATCTTTACCAAGCCCACATCTGACAGAGGGCTGATTTCCAAAATATATAAAGAACTCAAGAAAGTAGATATCAACAAACCAAATAATCCAATTTTTAAAATGGGGTACAGATATAAACAGAATTTTCAACAAAGATTCTCAAATGCCTAGAAGCACTTAAAGAAATGTTCAGTATCCTTAGTCATCAGGAAAATGCAAATCACAATGATTCTGGGATTCCACTTTATACCTGTCATAATAGCTGAGATCCAAACCACAAGGGACCGTTCATGCTGGAGAGGATGTGGAGCAAGGGGAACACTCCACCATTGCTGGTGGAAGTGTAAACTTATACAGCCAACATTGTAAGCCAGTGTAGTAGTTTCTCAGAAAACTGGGAATCAGTCTCCACAAGACCCAGCTATATCATTCTTGAGCATATACCCAAAGGATATTCCATCATACCACAAGGAAATTTGCTCTTTCTGTCTCTTAAATACAAAACAAAACAAAACACTACAAAACATGAGGTCCACTTTGTGGTGGCCACCCTGCTACTAGATTTGGGGCTTGTCGTAAAGTATGGTTATACTCTGTGCATATTTACTTCCTTGAAGAAAACTGCTTTCCCCTCTCTAAGAAGCTGTTATTTATGAATAGCTTTTTGGATAGGTGTGGGACTTTGTGTCCACTTTTCCTTCTTCATATTCCAATTTTGTCTGGCTTGAGCTTGTGCAGCCTTGCACATGCTGTCACAGTCTCTGTGACTTCATATGTGCCTCTTCCCAGCTCTTTCCTTAAAATTGTCCACCACCTCTGGCTCTTACAATAATGCTGTCTCCTCTACCCCTTCTCAAAGATTCTTAAGCCCTGAGAAGAGACCTATGATAGAGAGATCCCATTCACAGTTTAGAACTTCAAAGTCTGTAACTCTCTGCACACATATGTTAATTACCATCTACCACAAGAAGAAACTGCTCTAATAAGATTTTTCTATGTCTAGCATAACTGCCATAGTACTTTCATTTAATTTTTTCTTACTATTTTTTTTAATTGATGGAGCACTATGCAGTTTTAGCCAACTCCTGACAAATATCCTTAATACTTCCACTTGGTTCAATTTTAGAGATGAAAAGCATGTATCCACCCAAGTCTATTACTAAGTTGTCTTTTATAGGAGAAATCAGCAGTAAGGGTATTTTTAATTGCACCTCTCTGAGGAAGTTAAGTTGATAGTCTAGTTGACCTAACAAATATAAGCACCAGGAGTCACTCTAGCTCAGTAGTTCCTTCAACAATGCAAAAAATACAAATATTAAATTCAAGATTGGGTAAATCTTAATGTCTAGCATTAAAAGAATTTACCAGATGGTAAAAAACAATAATTTTTTATAACATGGCTATACAACTAAATGTATCTTAAAATAGAAATTAAATAAGGCCCAATATTAATGATAATTCAAAGTAGTCTGAATGAAAATTTAATGACAAAAAATAGAAGGCACTATAAAATTATAGAAAATTAAGATTTCTATAACATCATCTATGTTGGAAGTGTCAATGTCCTTTGCATTTATGACTATTCAAAAATGTAAATGAAATTATGCTTCATGTAAAAGTTGCAGGTGTCATAATTTTAAATTATATGTGTATGTTACAAGTTAGTAGAAAATAATGATAAATCTGTGCCCCAAATCTTCAGAAGAAAATGGGCAAGAACATTGAGAAATACTGACAATGATTGAAAATATTAATGAAGAATATAAAACATCAAATACAAGAGAACACAATAACACTGCATAAAAAAAAAACTGCAGAGGAGACTCATGGAGCCAGAGAGATCAAAGAAACTATCACCTAAATAAATAAAGTCACCCAATCTGGATAATAAGCACACAGAGAGAAGGCCAGAATCACCAACACCATGAGAAAATCACAAAGAATATTAAGACACACTTGAGAAGAAGACAAATGTACTTCATGTAAGAGGACTCAGAATTGGGATAGTATCTCCCCAGGTGCCTATTAGGACTAGAGGAGATGAGGGGTCATTTCTGGGTGCAGTTTTGGCTACTCACATATTGGGCTATCTATGAGGAATTACTTGAAATGAGAGTGCATGTATGTGAGCTTGGCCAGCATAAACTAAGGTTGGCAAAATACATTAGCTCTGGAAGAAATGGACAAAGAAGGTGAGTTAAGGGTCCACTCTATTTGTTCAGATGAGATGGCCTAGCCAATCTACTGCCTGAGACAAGCCTTGCAGGAAAAATGTCCAAAGTAAAATATTTAAAATTGCAATTGGATTAAGGTCCACCCAGGAGTTGGAACTCAAACCCAACACTGCTAAAGTGGCCAAGAACATGAGACTAGATAGATCATGGCTGTAGGGGGAAAGCCACCATTATCGTTCTGCTGAAAGAATATAGCAATGAAGAGCCTCCTAATGATATATTGCTGTACCCATAGGGTCAGTGCCACTCCACTGACATCAAAAGAAGCTTCATTTTGCAGTAGATGGGAATTAACACAGAGACTCACAACTGAAAAATCTGCAGTGAGTGAGAAACTTTGGAGTACTCTATCTTAAACTTGATGTCTCTAAGAAACCCCTCCCCTAAAGACTCAGGGATCTATGTGGGAGAGGAGTTAGAAGGAATGATTGTAAGACCAGAGGTGGCAAACAACTCTGAGGAAACACAGTCATCTAGACGAAACAGGGTTGATGCACACATGAACTCACAGAGACTTTGACAGCATGCACAAGACCTGTACAGGTTCAAAGCAGACAAGATACCAACACTGGGAAAGGAAGGTGGTCAAAGTTCCACCTCAAAACAAGAAGCTATTTGCAACTATTACCTGCTGGGAAAGGGAAAATCGGTTTTCTACAATGGAGTGACTTTGATATATCAAGCACACCGTAGGGCAGGGCCTATGCTCAGGAGTAGTTGGCCAACAGAAATAAGATTCTGTGTCTTTTTGTGGACTTTTTGATTGTTCGTTTTGGTTTAGTTTGTGCTTTTGTTGTTGTTTGTTATCTAATTGGTTTCTGTGCTCTGATTTTCTTTCTTTACTGAGAGAGAGAAAGAATATAAAGTTTGGTAGGTAGAGAGGTTGGAGAATGGGAAAGAATATGACCAAAATATATTGTGTGAAAAACTTATATAATAACTTTTTAAAAGGTCACAAGAGACCTTGCCAAACCATCATAAAATATTAAAATCACTGTAAGTGACATGTTTAGAGAAGGACATGATGTCACCCTTTTTAAGAGGCCAGAACATAATTATATGAAAGGAACTTGGCTAGCAGTATTAGTACAACTAATTTGGAGGCAGGAGAAAAGTTGTAAAACATAAAGTAAAAGGTACAACCTCTTTTTGATGATACTATGAAATTCACAAAAATTTATTTATTAAAAGCTAGAGATTCAAGGCTCATGGAGAAGAGGGGACAAGTCCCTGCAATTATAATAACCCAGGCAGGAAGTCTAAGAGAACATCCACACTAACCATTATAAAAGGAAGATGTCATCTATGAGAAGAAATAGAGTACAAAGCAACCAAGCTTTTTACTATCACTAGCTGTAGCTGGTAGTATCTGAAGCATCCTGTTTCTCAATTAAGAGTAAAACCAAGCTCTAGGTGAGAATTAGTTCTTCTTTGCAAAGAAGTACAAGGATGTACATACATGGAAAGTAAGAGACCTTTTTCAGAGACAGAATACACCTGCATAGTCAATTACTGTGGATAAGAAGGAAGAGTTGCTGAGGATGATGACATAAACCTGTAATCCCAGCACTGAAGAGGTAGAGACAGGAGGATGTCCACAAGTTCAAGACCAGCTGGGTCTATGGAGTAAACTCCAGATTATCTATGGCTACACAGAAAGGCCTTTCTCAGAGAGAAGTGGGGAAGGAAGAGAATGGTAGGGCACAAGGACTAGGCAGATAGCTCAATGAGCAAAGTGCTTAACTTTCAAACTTGAAGGCTGCAGTTTGGTCCCCAGCATGCACATAAATGATGGATAGCAAGGTGGCCTGGATTCATCCCCAGGACAAGCTAGCTATGTAGGATTAATAGAATATGGTAAGCTCTAGGTTCAAGGAGCCCTGTCTCAATACATAAGGTAATGACTGAGAAAGGAAGGTACCCAGTGTAAACCTCTTGCATCCACACACTCATGGACACACACACACACACACACACACAGGCACGCACGCACGCACACACGCACTGACACAGACCCGGACACTCATATGCACATGTGTGCACTGACACCCTTTAGAACATACAGACACCTGTGTGTGCATATACCACACACACATGCAAATCCCCCCCCCAACTAAAGCAAGTTTATGGGCCAAATAAGTATCAATAAAGGATTTCTGATGCTGTGGAAGGTGAATTCACAGGTGATGGATGATGTGAAGGTCTCCAGCCTCAAGTAAAAGCAGAAAAAGCCTGAAGATGGGAGGGACTGGAGGAACTCCTGTTAGGATGAGCAATATGATGAAGAATGAATGACCCGGAGCAAACAGCAGGCACAGCTGAGCTGATCCAGCATGTTAGTGATCTCCTCTGGCAGTATGGTGTCCTTTTCCCCCTAGAAATATTCTGAAGCCCAGAAACTGGAGTAGTGAGAAATTGGGCAGATTTGCCAACATGCCAGTGGGATTTCCCCAAAAAGGAAGCTTTCAGAATAAAAGCTGCCAGGGCTCTTCTGTGCAGCCCACTTCATTAGGACTCCTTCCCTCCTGGCTCAATACCCTGCAGTTGGAAGCCATTATCTTCTCCATGGAAGTCATCAGAACAGGCACCTGGCTCCTTGGAATGGAGGCCAGGAAGCACCCCTGCTAGCTTAAACTGCCTCTGCAGATCAGAAATCCTATCAGAAGCTCTTCCATGCCTGCCCTAGATTGGCTTAGGCTCTCTTCTGAC